ACTGTATAGACCAATGGTGAGCTTAAATGGGCCAATAAGAGTCCAAATGCTTAAAACTGGCTTCTATTGAACTCAAAAGTTTTTGGGCCAAGCTTAAGTTAATGAGTTTCACTTCTTTTCTTTTCTTTTTTTAACAACTGGGAATTTAGAGGGAGGGAGATTTTTATTTATTTATTTATTTTTTTATACAAGGAAGAATTATTCAATCAACGATCTAAATAATTCAGTGGTTATATTCTTTCAATAAAAGTAAGAAATTTTGAATTCAAATCACATAACATGCGAGTGAAATAAGATAAAAAATAAAAAATAATTATCTTCCATTATACAAGTAAGATAAAAAAAAAAAAGAATCCGTTCATACACGACTCCAACCATGACGAGCCACGGTATGGGTGCATTTTGCCAGCCCAACTGAAACGGCAAATGCAGCTTAAGTTCACTCTTTGATGGTTTTTTGGTTCAGGTAGTTAATAAAAATATTTAAATTTGACCCAACCGGAGTAAGCACAAGGTATTACATTCCTAATGTAGAATTTCATATATTTATGAACAATACTTAAGGATATTTTTTTTATATCTAGAAATTAAGAATTAAATTTTAAATTTATAATAAAAAATATAAATAATTTTATTATTAAATCACAACTGATGATAAAATATATTTAATGGAAATATACTTAATTGATATAAATGAGTCAAATTTGGACTTCTTTCAAGCTTGATTACAGCAGAGACTATCAATTTAAAAAGTGAAAGTTTCCTGAAGTTATACTAAAGGCTCTATTGCTTTTAGTCGTTAGAAATAATTAACAATTGTAGTTGTTAGTTAATAATTAATAATATTATTAGATGTTTTAAGTTTTTTTTTAAAATAGTATCTACCAGTTTTATCTCTTAAAAATTACGAAAAAAATTATCTCAAAATTACATTATTTTAATAAATTTTTATTGAAAAAAATTAAAATATTATATTTTTAAAGTATGAATTAGAATATTTTTTATCATTTCTTATAATACTTTATTAAAATTAGCAGTTTTAAAGTAATTTTTCTTATAATTTTTAAAAGGTAAGCGGATAAACATTAATAATTTTTAATTATTAATATTTATTATTTAATTATTTAAAATGGATAAAAACTTATTTATATATAAATTTTATTTATTATACATAAAAATTTAATTATTCATCTTTTTATTTTTAATATTTAAAATTTATTATAATTTTTAAATAAAAAATAATTATTTTTAATAAATATAAATAAACTTCAATTATTAAAAATATAAAGATAAATCTTAACTATTAAAAATAAAATGATAAATAATTAAAATTTTATATAAATTTAATGTATAAAATTTATGTATAAATAAATATCTATTTTTTAAAAATTAAACTATAAATTAACATTTTTAAACCTTTTAACCACCTTTTTAAAAACAAAATTATAAACGAACTTTTAAACTAAATACCCAAAATACAAGTCATATTATCCAACTTTACTCCTCGAAGCTGCATACCTAATTTGTCGTTTCATTGTTCTATTCCCAAGTTACCCCTACCTTCGTTGTCGTTTAATTGTCGTTTTAGACCTGTGTCACGGATATTCCGATGCACTTGCTAGTCTGAAAAGACTTTATTGCCCTTGTCCTAATAATTTCCACCGCAGATCGGCTATCTGACTCGTGAGTCAACACAGGGCTTTAGAGGGAGAGAGAGAGAGAGTTTGTGAGACAGACAGACAGAGAAAAAGGATGGCGCCGTCTTTGGTTGTTAACGGCGACTTCGCCACCGTCGGACCTGCTTCCACGGCCGGACGGCTGGCATCTGTGTACAGTGAGGTTCAGTCCAGTCGTATTGACCAGCCGCTTCCTCTCCCTTCTGTTCTCAAAAATCCCTTCAAAATCGTCGATGGTCCCCCCAGTTCCGCCGCCGGCAATCCAGGTCTGTCATCATCCTTCCTCCTTTATCTCTCTCCGTTTGGATCCACAGCTTTTGAACTTTAACTTTTGCTTTTCGGTTTGGTAGAACCAGACGTACTATTTTAGGCACAGTTCAGTTAAATTGAAACTTCTTCGAATTTGTTTTCTCTGGTTTCTTTTCAAAAAAAAAAAAAAATCGGTTATGGATTTGATCTGTGACAGATGAGATCGCGAAGCTGTTTCCGAATCTGTTTGGGCAACCTTCTGCAATGCTGGTGCCGAGTGCTGAGGGGAGTATTCAATCTGATCAGAAGCTGAAGATCGGTGTTGTTCTTTCAGGAGGACAGGCTCCTGGAGGTCACAATGTGATTTGTGGAATCTTCGGTGAGTGAATCTCATTGATTGAATTGATTTGATATCCTTGCATGTGTTGATTAGATTTTGATGCGAGATAGCACAATTGGTGTCCTACTTTGTGTATTTCCGGTGGTAGATTACTTGCAAGACTATGTGAAAGGCAGCACGTTGTATGGGTTCAAGGGAGGTCCTGCTGGGATCATGAGATGCAAATATGTAGAATTGACTGCAGAATATATTCATCCTTACAGGAATCAGGTATTTTTCTGCTGGCTTTGCCTTTTTAACTGTTTATTGTCTAATTTAGACTGATGTTTGGCTATTGATAGTGGTTGTGATGGGGCGTGGGGCATTTCGTTATTGATTCGTTTGAAATCCATTTGATTATCATGTAAATGATATATTATGATAATGATCCATCCAAATGTATGGAATAGCTTAAGCCTACTAAACCAGTGAAAAGGAATATACTCTTAACATTTAACCATTGTATGGGTGCCAGTGCTAGATTGATGACATAATGAATGATGGTTCTGAGTGCACGTCATTTGGTTGAGTATTATATTGTTTGCCCATAAAATAGAGGTCCTAGCTGATACATTTATTCATTGCAAACCAGGGTGGTTTTGATATGATCTGCAGTGGGAGAGACAAGATTGAAACTCCTGAGCAGGTTAGACTCTTTCTATTACTCACAAGATTGTGTGTTGTGTCAGTTTTGAGTATTAGTTGCTAAATGCAATTGATTATGATTTCCAGTTTAAGCAAGCTGAAGAAACAGTATTAAAGCTTGATTTGGATGGGCTTCTTGTTATTGGTGGTGATGACTCAAACACAAATGCTTGCCTTCTTGCTGAAAATTTCAGGTATACTTGAGAAATTTGTTGAATGGAATTTTCAGTCGCCAATAAAATGTAGAAGTTGGCAGCTATATTTCCCTACAATTTATCTTAATCATTGATTCCATATTTTAACTTCATTTCCTTGATTCATGAACTTAGGGGTAAAAATATGAAAACTCGGGTGATTGGATGCCCTAAAACCATTGACGGTGATCTTAAATCTAAAGAGGTTCCCACAAGTTTTGGATTTGATACTGCATGCAAGGTATGCAAATATGCTCTGCATTTTGCAATTTCATTTTAGTTGCTCATGACCAATCACAATTTAGATACTGGCTGTGGAAGCATGTGGCTTTTAGTTCCCTCTTTGGGTAGACATCGCCCTTTCACAGTGGGTACATAGTTCTCATGATGTGTCTCCATGCAGATTTATGCTGAAATGATTGGAAATGTCATGATAGATGCTCGGTCAACTGGCAAGTATTATCATTGTAAGTGTTTGTTTTCAGTTTTCGAATACAAATCCAATATTTGGTTTGTCCTTTCTTGCATGGTCATATTTAGATTGCCCCCCAGCCATAATTTGATTTATGAAAAGGTTCTTATATGCTGATCTTGATTTTGCATTTCAAAGCCAGAGTTATCTTCTAACCAGCATAAATTCATGTTGTAGTATAAACTGCTTTGTTTCTGTATTTTTTTGCTTTTTCCTTTTGTTTTTCCATTTGATTATATGTCTTCTCAGTTGTATTGTCTGTAAGCTATGGAATTTTGATTAAATAAAAACTAATGCCAACGTTGTGTTCTTATGTTTCTCTCCCTCCCTTCTGCCCTCTGTACCACTTCCCTCTTTCTTTTCCAAACACTTATTCTGATAAGCATTAAATGTCTTGCTTCTACAGTTGTACGACTTATGGGACGTGCAGCTTCACACATTACTTTGGAGTGTGCTTTGCAGACTCACCCAAACATTTCCATTATTGGAGAAGAGGTATTGGTCTATTTTTCTTAATATTGGTGGGAAAATTTATTATGTGGTTGTTAGGCAAAATTGCTGCCAGTACTTAAATAGTTGCTTACTTCATTTTTTGTATGGAGAATGTGTCAGAACAAAATCTGAAAATTGTAGCTCCTATCACCTAAGAATGAGTTTCTCTTACAACCTCAGGAATTGCACAAAATGAAATAAAATTGAGAAATTGACTTAGCAGGCCAATATGTATCAGAGGTTGCCTCTTGTCTATCCTGATTGCTAAAAGTATATTGCTTGTATCTTGGCTACTGCTAAAAATTAGAGGCAGTTGTCACTATTTTGTTTTAGTTTTTGTACAGATCAGTTTACGAAACATATTTTCTGCAAAGTCCCAAGTTCAAGAGAGACATATTAAAAGCTTTCTATGCAGATGCGTACTTTATTATGATATACCTTGCTGCAGGTTGCTGCAAAGAAACAAACACTTAAAAATATCACAGACTACATTGTAAATGTAATCTTGAAACGAGCAGAACTTGGCTACAATTATGGTGTTATCCTTATCCCTGAAGGTCTAATTGACTTCATTCCTGAGGTATTTGTCTCAGTCAGCATCAGCAAGTGTACTTTTTCTTATTCTTTACAGCCTTCTTCCAATAATTCTTTACCTATGAGTCAAATATCCTGGCATTTCCTTATGTATCTGGATGCATAATAAACATATACATTAACATATCTGCTGTTGTATTATTGCAGGTGCAGTACCTTATTGCTGAACTGAATGAAATTTTGGCCCATGATATCATTGATGAAAATGGGCTGTGGAAAAAGAAACTTACAGACCAATCTCTCAAGCTTTTCGAGTTCTTGCCTCGGGCAATTCAAGAGCAATTGCTGCTTGAAAGAGATCCACATGGAAATGTCCAGGTTTGTACATAATGTTGTGCATATATCTGATATTACTCATCTTAGCTAGCTATTGATGTCACTTTGTTTCTTGTTTCTACCATTAGGTTGCCAAAATAGAAACAGAGAAAATGCTTATTCAAATGGTTGAAACTGAGCTGAAGAAGAAACAGCAGGAGGGTTTGTATAAGGGCCCATTTATGGGGCAGTCACACTTCTTTGGGTACTTATTTCATTTCCTTTTCTTTTCTAGATAAGCACACTTTTAAGCATTATGTTTGAGCAATTCAAGGAGCTGGTTGGAGAGTATTCTTCATGATTGGGATCAACCATTTAGTTACTGCTAATCACAGCTTTCAGGCCTCTTTAGAAATGATGACCAATCCCCAATGTCCAAATCTATTTTGTTTCTCTTTTTCTTTCTTGTTGGTTGTAGATATGAAGGAAGATGTGGTTTGCCAACTAACTTTGATGCTACCTACTGTTACGCATTGGGCTATGCTGCTGGAGCTCTCCTCCAGAGTGGGAAAACTGGGTTGATATCATCGGTCTGTGTTTCTGGTTTCTGGTTTATACACTACATTAACTGTTTCCTTTTCTTTTCGCATAACTTACTTGTTGGTTGATCTTGGCTTGCCCCATTTTGCTTTGGAGATCTACCTTATTCTGTCAATTAGTCATCATTCTTCCATAACAGCACAAAATTCTCTGTATTTACTTTTCATAATTTCCCCAGGTGGGAAATTTGGCTGCTCCAGTTGAACAATGGACTGCTAGTGGGACTGCTTTGACTTCATTGATGGATGTGGAAAGGAGACATGGTATATATATTTATATTTATGTTAACCAATAATCTCATCAAATTATTAAGAAAAGAAGTGCTTTTTTTTTTTTTCTGAAACTGCACTTGACCTCCGCTCACTTCTTTGGTTAATGCTTAATAGTTGTTCTGTGCTTCCTAGTTGCATTTAGAAATCAGAAACAGCACCATATAACAATGGTGGTTTAGATTAATTTATCATTTGATATTCTCTAATGCACTGTTTTCATGTTATCTGTTTTGCAGGTAAGTTCAAGCCTGTCATCAAGAAGGCAATGGTGGAACTTGAAGGTTAAGACTGTTCTTTGGCATGTGTTTCATTGGGTTTCCATTGCATTCCATGCTTCTTTGATTTTAAACCAACAAGAAATTAACCATCAATCTGTTTGTCATTATGACTTTGCAGGTGCACCATTCAAGAAATTTGCTTCCATGCGGGATGAGTGGGCCTTCAAGAATCGCTACATCAGCCCTGGTTGGTTTTGAACTTGATTTTCAGTAACCTTGATAATTTGCCAGTTTCCTGTCCGTCAAGTAGCCATGTTTCATATTTGACCTTTGTGTCCTCAATTGGCTAATTTTGCAGGTCCTATTCAGTTCGTTGGCCCAACGTCTAATGCAGTTAACCACACTCTACTCCTTGAACTCGGAGCAGTTCAAAGCTAGGTGCGTTTGCCGAAGTTCCAGTGTCTACAAGAACAAGAACTAGAAACTTTTCCTGGGTTTGTGAAGGTCTCGCTGTTTCAAGTATTTTAGTCTTAGAATTGTTGATATTTAAATCTTGAGTATATAGTTAGAAATAATGTGCAAAACGGTTCTGCGTCAATACGTGGTCTTATGATTTCCAAAACATGCAGCACCATTTTTTTGTTGCCTCTCAATCAAGTTTTGTTTTTAAGTCATGAAATTTACCTTTCTGGACTTAGGTTTAAAGAAATTGACTTCTGATAATAAAAAATAAAAAATAAAAGACATCAACCAGTTCCAACGAAGTTTGGTTTTTTGAACGCTTCAAACTGATGATTACAAGATTGTACAAGTCACGGGCTGAATCACTCCACATCTTGAGATGAAGACGGGACTGTGAAACGCTACTGAAATAAATACACCTTACTTGTTTTATTTTACGAATCATAAAATGTTGAATCAAGTTTTCTAATGGTTCATCTTTACACTTATGTATTTGAATTGAGTTGATCAGAAATTTGACTTTTATCAACCATTTAAAAAAAATTCTCTCCCTCACAATTCCCATGATCCAAAAAAAAAAAAGAAAGGAGGAATCATAGAATGGCAAAGCTTGTTTTTCAGAGGATGGGCAAGAAGTTGCTATACTGTTCCTTAGGATACTTACATATGGAAAACGGTCAAGTCCACACAAATGAATACAGGGAAGATGAGTTTTTATCTTTGCAATCCAAAAGATGATTTGATGAAGAGAATTGCACTCCAAGGTAAAAGCTTCAAGTCTTCCTTTCTTTTGTAATTTCATTCATAGAGATCTTGGGATCACCCGGTGGAAAAACAATTTTTTTTATGCTACGCCCATTTAGAATATCAAATCTTTTTTCGTTCATGCATTGTATACATGTTTGTGAAAAAGAGAGGGACAGAGAAAGAGACACGAACAAGTACTAAGATGCTCTATGTAGTTCATGGTTGTGTAAACCAGATGCTAAAGTTAAAAAGACTGTTGGAGAATTTGGAGACCAACAATTTAATACTCCGTGTTGAACAGCTACCAAAACATTATGCAGTTCTGTTCCCATATAATGCCATTTGATCGTGCCATTGTACTTTCGGCTGGTCGCTGAGGCACTAAATAATGTTCACCCAATTATTCATTCTTAATTTCTATCCCATGTAACATGCAGATAATGCCACGGCAACTACCACCAAATTGCCAGTGCAAAGTTATACATACCCCTATGCCTAGTTCCTTTGGTGAGGGAAAACCTCCGATACATCAGCTGATTACTTCTTTTAATTTCATTTGTCAGTTTGTCACCCCAATTTTTACATTTTAAAACTATATTCCTATGCAATTCATGCTTTTGAAATTTTTATATAAAACTTGTGCATACATTCGATTACGAGAAAATGGATAAATAAATATGTTAATTTTAATTTTTTTTTTAATTGAAATGTGTTAATTTTATCAACTTTTAAAGAAAAATATCAATTTTTAAATTTTTTCTATTTAAGAAGGTCAATATTTAGTTTTTTCCATTTAAAGATATTAATTTTTAATTTTTTTATTTAAAGATTAATTAAATAATAATACTAACATGATGAATGAATTTTTTAATTAAAATATTGAAAGTTGGTATTTTTAAATAAAAAATTAAAAGTTGATATCATTAAAGAAAAAAGATTAAAAATTAATATTTTTATTTAAAAACTAATAAAAATTAACATCATTAAATAAAAAAAGTACAAAGTTCACATTCTTATTTGCACATTTTGTTTTTTCTCCCCGACTACCGTTTATATATATATATTGTACAATTTTAATTCAAAATTTTATATTTTTTTAAAAGAAAATTTTACTAAATTACTTGAGTTTCTAACAATAAATAATACAACACAAAGCCAGCACTAGATTATTCTATTTCAAAATATGGAAACTGCAACTAGACCATAATTTGCACTTGATCAGACTTAAATGTATAAAGTGTAATCCTAGACATTAGCACAGTTAACTTTATAGCTACATATTTCACCGGAGTCAACTCAATTGGTAAAATTTGACCTTTTCTATTGCTCTTTTTTTTTTTTTTTGATAAGATATTGCTCTTTTAAGTTTAGAGTCTCATTACTAATAATTTCCTATGGATAAAGGATCTATACTAAGTGTCACTATAAGTCTTCACTGGGATTAATGACATACCTTGATCCTAGTCTTGGTAATCTTTTTTTCCCCCCCAAAATCATTCGTTTACACCC